CATTCAAAATTTGGGCAAGATCATCCCTAGTAATGGCAGCGTTCCCATGTGATCCAAACGGATTGTGTTGTTGTTGTTGTTGTTGTTGTTGTTGATCTTCCATTCTTAAATTGACAGATCGCAATGGTCGAGTCTTATGAAATTGTTTCAAAAGTTTAAATAATACAAGTCGTATGTGTTTCTCTTCTTCGTAAGATAGTTGTTCTTGTTCCTTATAAGTATAATGTTCTTCTTTGAATCCAATAGTTAAAAGAAAATCCTTAAAACGCTGTTGCTTGTGTTTGTCCTTAAAGTGATTCCTTGATGCCTTAACGATGTGTACTTTTTGATGTTCCTTAATGTGTGTATCCCCTAAAAATTGTAATGACATCCACTAATGAATGTATTATAATTTTTAGTTTTTGAATCTGGTGCTACCAATTGTCGTGATAGTTCTTATAATATTTTAGTATATAAAATAAATGTAGAGTAGATAAAAGATGACTTTATTTGATTTAATTATTGATTCTATTTTATAGGTGAGCGGAGGTGATATGAATTATAAGTACGACACTAAGCTCTGTACAACTTCAATTTAGATATAACCATTTCACAAAACTATAATTCAATAAAGATCATCTTTCATTTACTATACTTAACTTTACATAAGCACATCTATTAAAATCTCTCTGACAATTGGTAGCACCAGAAAAATAAACTATTAGTATCAGATCATTCACCACGAATGTTATCAGCAACAAGCAGTGATAAAAATATTTTGGAACATCCTGCACACGTTATTCAAGAAATTATCAAAGAAACAAAGAGAAAATTAGCAACAACAGAACATAAATTATTAGAAGAATTTCTTACAAACAGAGAAATTTTAATAGATCACCAGCACAAATATAATAAATACAGCAAAACAGAAAAACTCGAAATCTATAAAGGAACTAAAACGTTATTAGAACATTTTAAACATTACAAAGATAACAACCCTACACTATTAACTGAAGACATCGAAATGGAGAACAATACTCCCAATCAAAAAATGTATGCTGAATCCGATATCATGCAACTACTAACAACATTATTACAGCAACAACAATCCCAACAACAAACAACCCCACCATCACCTCATAACCAGGTACGAATTCCCACTCCCGCAACATATGATGGAACGAGGGATGTAACCAAAATTGACAACTGGTACACATCTGTGGAACATTACCTGAAGTTTTATGACTTTGAGAAATCTCGCTGGGTTAGTTATGCTATTTCATTACTAACTGACCATGCTCGTTTATGGTATTACAGAGTCAAAAACAATTATGATCTTGATACTTGGGAGACGTTTAAGGCTCACATGGATATTGAATTTAAACCTCGATATACGTTACAATCAACTAGAGATAAACTTTTTGAACTCAAACAAACTTCCAGTGTACAACAATACATTCAAGACTTTCAGAACATTTTGCTGGAATTGAATATTGCCGAAGATGAAGCCATGGATAAGTTCTCTCGTGGACTAAAGGAGAAAGCCAGGGCACATGTGCTGCCCAAAGATCCTATTGATTTAGAGGGTATGTATCAATGCGCAAGAACATATGAGTCTGCTACTCAATACGGTCATCAGATCAATCAAAACAGCTCTTCATCAACTCATACCATTGATGATCCTATGGATCTTTCGGTCGCCGAATTAAAACAACAAAATCAATTGCTCCTAAATTTACTCAACAAACAAAAACCAAACCACTTTAACAACAAAACTACCAACAGTTTCGCATGTTACTACTGTAACAAAGTTGGACATAAAAAGAATGAATGTCGAAATAAGAAATGGGATGAAGGGCGCGGCATATTTCAAAGTAAAAGACCTACAAATGGCTATCGTACACAACCACCCCGCTCAAATTATCACAACAATCCTAGCCAACAGTCCGGCAATTTTCGTCAACAACTCAATGCATTATTAGATGCTTATGATCCACTTCGTAACCATTCTGATAATAATAATAATACAAACTCATCATCTTTTTCTACAGCTAATCATTCTGATAATAAAAGCTTAATTGACTTATCTAACTTTGATAGTCAAGATTCTTACTTGTACCCTGCCTTAAAACCAAAACCTTGTCCTGAAACAGGTAACATAATATCCATTGACCAATCATTTCTTAATAAATTAGATAATGCACCCAGTAAATTACCATTGTATCAAGCTATGGTTGGTGGATCTGATTTTAAAGTTCTTATTGACAGCGGCGCAAGTACCAACTATGTTCACCCCAAGCTTATATCACATGCGTTAACTGAAAACGAAGTACAAAACCAAGCCGTTGAAACAGCTGATGGTAAACAGTCTAATATAAATAAACGCATAACATTTCGTATGTTTTTAGGTGATAATCATTCCCATCAAGAAATTGTATCTGCATATGTTTTCGAATCTAAGTTCGATATCATTCTCGGTAGAAAATGGTTAAAAGAAACAGCACCTTCCCCTGATTGGTTTAACGACACCTGGGAATTAAAAGATATTAACAATCATATCATAAAAATTCACCCCATACCATCATCCAAAATCGAAAAACTTCATACTGCTCAGACAACCAAAATTGTACCTATTGCTCAAACGAGTCCTGATACGGAAATAGATTTTTTAGCGTCTGCATCTCAAGTTGCTCGTTGGTTTAAAAAGGAACAGATTAGCGAATGTTTCGTCGTCAATTTTATAGATGAAGATACAGGAAACAGTGCCACAATTACACCCATATCACCAATTTCGGCAGCTGCACTCCAACTTGACAAAGATTGGAAAGAGGAATTCGCTAAATTATTTCCTTACGCATTCAAAGGGGAAGTAACTGAATTGCCACCTCACCGACATACAAGAGACATTATTGTTACCGATCCAAAAGATGCTGCACCTATTTACCACCAACCTTACCGAATGAGTCCCATTGAATTGTCTGAATTAAAAAAGCAACTAAATGATTTAGAAAAGAAAGGATTAATCGTTCCGACAGCATCACCATATGGGTTTCCCATCTTATTTGTTCGAAAGGCTGGATCCAATAATGCGGATGGAACACCAAAATTAAGAATGTGTTGTGATTTCCGAAGCATTAATAAAATTACTATTGCGCAGAGGATACCTATACCTAGAATTGACGAGTGTTTAGATCAACTACATAATAGTACATGTTTTTCTCAGATCGACCTTATTGGGGCATTTAATCAAGTCCGATTGTCCGAAGCCGACTCCATTAAAGCAACAATCTCTCATCGATTTGGTCAACACAGATTTCTTGTGGCTCCATTTGGCTTAAAAAATTCAGGTCCATATTTTCAAGATGTAATCAACAAAGTTTTACAATCATTTGTGGATAAGTTTGTTATTATCTATGTAGATGATTTATTAATATATTCAAAAAATGAAAAGGAACATAAGGAACATGTAAAACTTGTTTTACAAAAACTTGACGAGGCAAAATTTGTTATTAATATTAAAAAATCACATTTTAACATGAAAGAACTGACATTTTTAGGATATCATATATCCAAAGACGGTATTTCTCCTTCACAACAAAAAACAGACGCAATAAAAATCTGGCCTATTCCCAACAACGTGCAGCAGGTTCGACAATTTCTTGGCTTAACACAATATTATCGCCGGTTTATTCCCAACTTTGCACATATCGCTTCACCATTAACAGATCTAACAGCTGGTACCGGTTATAAAACTCGTACTGTAAATTGGACACCGCAATGCCAAGATGCTTTCGACTTGTTGAAATTAAAACTAACCAGTGCTCCGGTACTTCAAACACCTGACATGCATAAGCCATTCCGAATCGAATGTGACAGTTCTGATTTTGCTGCTGGTGCGGTATTATTGCAGCAGGACAGGGAAAACAATTGGAAACCGTTAGCTTTTGAAAGCAAAAGATATAGTAAAGAAGAACGTAACTATCCTGCGCAAGAGCGTGAAATGTTGGCTATCTTGATCGCATTACGAAAATGGCGCTGCTTTATCGATGGAAAAACATACACTGTTTTTACTGATCATTTACCTTTAAAGTATTATCGAGACCAGAAGCACCCAGTTCCACGATTAGTAAGATGGATGTTCGAGATTGAATTATATAACCCAGACATCCAATATAAAGCCGGAAAAGACAACACCATTCCTGATCTCCTATCCAGAAGAGATGGTCCTGACTGTGTTCCTGCCACAGCATCGGTTCAGCCTAAATATTTATACAATACTTCACAAGTTACTAATACTACTAACAGAAACTCTACATCATTAAATAAGGCAGTCAAATCAATCAAAGACGATCCTATCCAAGATTGGCCCTTACTTTATTTTCGAAATCCTGATCAATGGCCTAAACTATTACAACCTGAACTGCTCCAAAATCAAGAAAAATTTATTGTCAAGAATCACCACATCTATAAACTGGTCAAGAATAAAAATAATACTGACATTACCGAATTAAAATTTATCCCGTTTCACCAACGTGCCGATTTCATTGACAATTTTCATACAGCCTATGGTCATCTCAGTCAAGTATCCGTTTATCATCAATTAAAGTCTCGAATCTGGTGGCCAGGTATGCAAAATGATGTCACCGATTGGTTGAAGTCATGCGCACAATGTCAACTTGCGAGTCGTGCAGAAAAGAACGTTCATCATTCACCGATGAAGCCTTTGGATGTACCGCCTGCTTTTTCTCGTTGGCACCTAGATTTTATCGGGGAATTACCGACAACAAAAAATGAAAATCGATGGATTCTAGTTGCAGTAGACTATGCCACTAATTGGCCAATTATACGTGCTTTAAAAAATGCTACAGGAGACGAGATTGTTCGATTTATATACGAAGAAATTGCACCTCATCCCTATAACTAAAAAAAAAATTCATCATATTGAACATCCGTCCCTGCTAATTTAGATATCTAATTTGAGCATTTACCGCACAGTTGTCGAGTAGTAACTCGAATAGTTACGAAAATCTGAGCTGAAAAAATAAAAACTATTTTTCTTTACTGGGCGAAGTGACTGGATTTTGATTCCTTTCCCTTTTTCTTATAAACAAAAATACAATGACTCTTCATAGATTCGAAACCGAGATTTACAACGAAATACTGCTGGAGGCAGAAAGACGCAAGGCGGCCGACTTGAAATTGTTGGTAATGTGCAAGGATCTGGGAAATACCGCTACCATGAGCGCCATTCAGGAAGCCATTGGCAGGCACTATATTTCTGAGATCCCTTTGATGGAAAAACATAGATCTGTCAACCCTTACAATGTCTTTTGTCAAAAGGAAAGGGCAAGAGTCAATGCAGAAAAACTTGCTGTGGAGAACTCATTTACAGAAACCTCTTCTGTAGATGACTCATTTGTTAGTTTGACACCTAGTGTTTTGTCTGAGAGGTACAAGAGCCAGACTGAAGATGACATGGAAGTACTGGAGGAAATGGTCAGTAACGTCCAGGCAGGCAAGGGATATGAGAATCTCCTTAGGTCTGGCATGACTAAGGCAAAGGTCCGAACGACCTTCATTAACTATATCACGGCCATGCACCGCTTTCATGGAACAGAAACCGCTGTGATTTTTGGTAGCGGTAAATCTTGGGATTCGGTTGCTGTTGGAGGTAAATGTGTATTGCTCTTGTTTTAAATCTATTTTTTAAATTTATTGCTATGCAGAAAACGTTGAGAAGGCGGATCTCCAACGATGGAGGAAGGAAGTCAGGATTCTTGTCAATCCAATTTCCATGGCTCAAAAAGGTATCTACAATACAATAAAAAAAAATATGATTTTAACGTAAGTTGTACACTCGTATTTAGCCCGGAATACTGCTGCTGCCCTTGAACAGTCCAAGGAGATTAAGGAGGTAAAAGATGCGATCAAGGCGAAGCTCAGTAAGTCAGAAATTTGCAAAGCTATGAAATTTGGCCTAATCGTATTACGTAGATGCCCAATGCGGGACATCATATAATGTACTGCATTGGAATAAAATGGTGAAGGCTGAGACCTTGGGAGCGGTTGTCCCACTGCTCAAGTTCATCGTGGTCAAGAATTGGCCTCTGGACCACTTTAACTTCTTGGAGATAAAAAAGGCACACAACATCCGAAAGATAAAGGGTAGCCTGGATTGCCTTGAGTTCAGGTTGACTCGTCATTTCAACAGTCGACTTGCGATGTTGACATCTGATGTGCCAAGTGCCACAATCTCCGAGCCAAGCGTTGAAGCTTCTACTGAGCCAAGTGGCATGGCAGTTGATAATGTCAACGAATAAAAATATCCTTTTTTTTTTATTGACAAATGATGCATGTTATTAGAAAGATGATTTATTCTTGGGATGTATGTTTTCGACGTTCTAATATTAATATTGTGGTGCGTTATGCAATAAGGTACGACGTCCCTGGCACATAAACAATTTTGTGAGGCGAAGCAACTGTATGTTTGTTTCAATACGCCAAAGATTATGGATCATTTATGTGTTTGCCCATAAATACATTTACACATGTTTGTATTGATATCACATCTTATATTTTAAATACATTCTTTGTAACCGCTAAGTTAAAATGAAACTGGTAACAATGATACAAGCGTCTTCGGCGAATAATCTAATGTCAAGGCTATACACGCCTGGCCAAAATAAATACACTACTAACTGATAACGATAAAACCACTGATACTAATTGACCGTTGCTTTACCAAAAATAAGTTGAATCCTCTTATTTAAAGTGTCTCAAATAACCGCCTAATGTCTATATAGACCAATGCAATGTTGAGATATTATATGGTCATGACTATTGAGAACAATTATCTGTAGCGCGCAACCAGTAGGCTAAAGGACTTTTTGGAAAACGAAGCATCTCTCCCAAACCAAATAAACTTTATATAGCTGATCAGTCTGGTGGTAACAAATCAGTCTGGTGGTAACAAATCAGTCTGGTGGTAACAAATCAGTCTGGTGGTAACAAATCAGTCTGGTGGTAAAAGACTTAAACAGTTAGATGGCATGAAAAAGGCTGATGCATGAAAGAGGAAGCATGAAACACGCTATAGTTGAAAATACACGTAAAGGTTTTAAATATTACGATGTTAATAAAGAGTTATTCATAATGAGTAACATTTGAGTCTTTTTCATATGACTAGGCAACGGGTAAAATCCATTATAGGGTAGGTTGTCGTAGGGATTCTTTCAAAACATTTAGATGGTAGAAGGGTAATGGTAAAAAGTAAACAACCTAGGGAAGAGAATTGCGTCACTTTTTACGAGAAGTAGATGATTTTTACAGCGTGGACCAATTTGATTGGCAAATAATGGTGTCATTGACAGAAAAAAAATTTTTTTTTCTACTTCAGCTTTTTATTACAGGGTCAGAGCAGTTTTTTGAGAGAGGCCCCACTTTTTTTATTTACAAAATCTCTCTGCTAACGATTCTTGTATGAATTAACTTGCGTTTACTCCACATTGTTTCTGTCAATGTTGCGAGTGAGGTATACTTAGTCGAACACATAACACAAATATACTATTCTGTCGAAAGCTAAACTTTCTAGAACTTCTGCTCGTTACGTGGTTGCCCATTGAAGATTTTTGAATTAACGTAATTACATGGAAGATTTATGGCAAAATTTTTCGAGTTGAAAAGTGTTCAACATGTAAAGGTTTGTAGTGTCTGTTAACGTATGGGCAACAACCGAGAGAGTCTCGTAAGGTTCTTTCAACTCGATTCTCCACCCAAACTCAAATCGACTTTTTCGAGCTCATTAATAAACATGCACTATGTAAAATTTCAGTTTTGTGTTTCGTCCATTTATATGCTTTAATAATATCATAATTTCTGTGTTGTTGTATTCCTTTGCTACTTTGGCCATTAATACTTCATTCTAGATTGTACAGATAAAATCTGGGTGATATGGTAGCCATTGCCTAAATTGTAGTATTTGTTTTGGAGGTGAATGTAAGTGGAAACATAATCAAAGCATTTAACGATACAGTGACATCTGTGTTAATTACAGTTTCTTCTGTGATAAGAAAATGCGTGTACGAACAGTTACCAATGATGTTAATGTATGTGAGATCCCATCCTCCATATCTCAATATACAAATGCAACAATACATAAACCATGAAACTTAGCTGGATGATACCCGTACCTCCTGTATTACAACTCATAGCTAGCGACTGAAATATAAAAACCATGCTTTACCTCGGATTATACAGACTTTCTATCTGTTGACGTGACAGATATCATACGTTGACAGCAAGTCTATGTACCTGAAGTTATCTGACTAATTCTAGATAGCCGCATAAATTTTAAAAGTTTATATACTTAACGCTTTGTTCAATAAATACAATTGTAGTTGTCGCCTGTGGGTGATAAAGAGTGTCAAACCAGACTAGACAGGGCACATTATGTTAAGTTTTCACATTACCAACGCCATATGACTTAAAAGAAGGCACAGTAGAAAATAATTTTTAAGAAAGCAACATTTTGAGCATAAAAAATTGTTGCTCAAGTTTAGATGAGGATCTACGAAACAGAAAAATGGTTTTGATAACACTGTTAGATGCAGAAACGTTGTCTCGATATTTTTAAAAATATTAGAGGATGTAAACGTTAATTTCTAATGTCAAATTAATAGAAACATGATATTTCACGTAACTAATACATTGGTATACACATTAATTATTTAAAAGATAAGATACAGATAACTTTCTCATAATAAATCATAATAATTATGTATTTAAATAATGTTCATCGTTAAGAATTATGATGAAGTGTTTCACTTTGAAGTTATAACATACAAAAAATAATGTTTAATGTTATTAACGGATGTATTATACAATGACAATTAGTTTCTTGAGGTTTTTCTCAGGTATAATATTTATCAGTTTTGAAAGCAAGGTTGTTTCTTTTTTACAAAGTACTGACAGTTGATACGTTTAAACGTCAACTATAATAAAATATTCTTTATAATCTTATTAATATTAAACAACCAAATGTTATTATGTACAATAAGTTTTATTAAATCACAACTAAAATTTCCTTTATGTTTACTTTCAGATATACATACCTAAACAATTAAGCAAGAATGCTGAATCCATTAAATCACACCAGTTACATGATTATTTGTACTAATTGTTGCGAAAAGAAAAGTATCTTAAAATGTTTATTTAACTGAATGGGTTCTATAAGAAATGGAATCTTTTTAATTGCGTGAGTTGGTGTGATATAAATCAAACTACTTTAGAGAAGTAAGCGACGCAATTTAATTAAAACCATCCGAAATGAGTAATTTGGTACACTTGATGATATAACTGAAGACAAAAAATGACAGTGATTAAAAGAAAATAAAATAAATGCAACCGATTATCAAGTTTTTTTTACGCGCATTTCATGGTTAGGACCCAATATTGCCCTTCCAAATTTTTATATTTTTATATTTTTATATTTTTATATTTTTATATTTTTATATTTTTATATTTTTATATTTTTATATTTTATTATTTTATTATTTAAATATAGTTTTAGATAAGCATCAACATCAACACCAACACCAACACCAACACCACTACCATCATCATCATCATCCACTTCTACTTCCACCACACCTTCCTTCTCCTTACCTTCCTCTACCAGGTCAATATACTCATCATCAGCACTTGGGGGTTCGGTGTCACTGGGCCGAACGTGGGCCAGATGGTGATCAGTAAACTTTTTCCATCTGATATTATCGTCCACAGCACGCTGTATAAGTATACGAGCGCCAGAATTTACAGCGTGCTCCCCAAGTGCAGAAGCCAGATAAGTTTCCTCTTGCTTGATGTGGTGGTCCAGCCAAAAGACATCCCGCTGCAAACAAATTTCAATTCATGTTTTCTTTTCAATAAATAACCTAAAAGTATCTTACCTCTAAACGGATCTGTTCCTCTTTCAAACATTTCCATCGCAACCAAAGCGAGACTTCCTTTGACCAGTTCACATCCCAAAATCCATTCTCTTTTTCAAGTACAAAGTCCAAGGTGATCGACTTTATGTTATCTACTCACAATTTAATATACATATATATATATATATTTGGTAATGGAAAGAGTATATATTTCTTAGAACATACCTGCATTTGGGCTTTCAATCAACTCTTTGTTGTTCAAATTGTACATACAGATAACGTCAGCCACCAAGGACTTCTGCTTTCTCAAGGCTTCTTGTAGCTTTCCTGCCAATTTGGTCCCTGGTAAAAAAAAAAAAAAAAAAAAAAAAAAAAAAAAAAAAAAAAAGTTAAACTTTGATGATGCAAGTATTTTAAATACGTACCGATGTGTCCACTATGAAGTTTATCCCCAAGGTCAAAGTAGACTTGGACATTACTTCTTAAAATATCTCTGTATAATGCCTCTTTGACCTTGAGGAAGGCCAACCATTGAGACTCGGCAAAACCAAGATAATCAGGTCTCAAAATGGTAGGTCTTTCGGAGACGTTACGACCGGCAGCCCTCTCCACACCACAAAGATACTCCTCGATCTTGGGCAACTCATTGCGGAAATAGGACCTACCGGTGGAGCTAACAACATAGGCGGTGTCGTTGCCATTGAGGATGCTCCTACAAGTTATGATAAAATTGGTGAATATAAAATAGCTTAAAAAAACATATTAGATAAAAAGAAGACTTACTGGAAGCTAAGGTACACGCTCAACAACAAAGGAAAAGTATGCTCGTCTACATAGCTTTTTGGAAGTGCATCTGACACATCATATCCAGAACATCCTCGCTCCCCAAGATCAGCCACTTGCTTGGCGTAACGCTCCTCCACATTCTTATAACGATTCATGGGCCACTTTCCAATCTTGTTTGCAACTTGTAACATTTCAACCTCAAGCCGGTAAATTTTCTCTTTCAAGATTTTGGCTAATAAAAATAATATATCATAGGATTAAGTATAGATCTGCATTATCTTTAAATAGTTAACGTACCCAGGTTGTGCTTGACGACTGTGTTCCTGTACTTAACAGCCATATACAGGACATACCGCCGGTTCTCCGCCATCATGGGCTTGGTCATGGTAATGTATTTGGCCAAGTAAGACCAAAGTCTTTCCATGCCTTCACCGTCAGTCAACCCAAAGTTTTCAATATATCTCGGGTTGTACTTGACCTGACAGTGCATTACATGAGCGTAGGCATGGAAGACAGACAGACCCAAGCGGTCAGAACCGGCGATTCCGGGGAAGTTCAGCTAAAACATATAAATTAGTGATATGATAACTGTCAATTTTTGATACAACATACCTTGATAGATGGCTCCAGTTTGCATACAATGTCATACATGACATGTAAAGGAACCTTTCTACCAAGCTGGTTCTCGACAGAGGCTATAGCAGCCAGTGGATACTTAAACCTATGATAAATTAATATATATCGATTTTTTAAAAAAACAAAGAAAAGCGAATGTTACCCTTCCCCGGCGTTCATGTCTGCAAGTTGGAACACAGTATCGTGTCTAGCGCAGCCACTGCCAAAGACACCACGGACAGGATATATGGCCGAGGTGCGGTTCTGGTGCACCAAGGCTTGAAAGATCCGGGGTTCTTCCACCGTAGACTTCTTGGTATTAAGGCTCTTGGCAGTGGCAGCATCCTTGGTGGCGGTGGTGGTAGCAGTGGTAGCAGTGGTGGTGGTGGTGGTGGTGGTGGTGGTGGTGGTGGTGGTGGTGGTGGTGGTGGTAGACGTAGCCTTGGTTCCAGGCTATATGTGAATAAAAAGGATATAGACATTTTAATACATTGCATTATGATACTTAGTAACTATCAATTACCTTCTCTGATTTGTCAAATGACTGGACCAAGTCTTCATTCATCCAAAAGTTCTTGAATTTACCAAGGCCCGAAACCTTAGAAAGGTCACCTTCATCCGCCAGCGATCTTGTACCTCTCAAACGAAAGTTTCCATCCATCGTCATGAACTGCTTGTCATTAACATCGGTTGATCCAACCTGTTGTAAAAATTACTTAAAAAGTTAATAAAGCAGTTTTTTTTTCTTTTTCTTTACAAACCTCAGGACAAGCAGGACACGACGTGGAAACTTCCCCCAGTACCATCTGTTCCGACAGCTCAACCATCTTATGATACAGAAGGATGGTATTTGAGCATTTTTCCTCCGAGATACTGGCCTACATGAAATATAAGAAAATAAAACAAAACGATGTTGATTTTCTTTTATATTATACCTTTTCGGTGCCAGTAGCCCAGGCGTCATAGAAGCTTGATATTTTCTCAGCCGAACCTGCAAAGGTGTTTCTTAGTCTAAGAAAAAAATCACAGAGACTAAAGTGTACAGCACCTGTTGTTCTGTTTGGTGACAAAGGAAAAAATCCAGATTCCACCAAAGCAACAGGCAAGGTATTACAATGGCTACAGTAGAAAAATCCTTCGCTATTTTTTACACCTTTGAAACTTCGTATAAGTATAACTAATATTAAAATAATGACATTACATTACCCCAGACAAAAAAGAAGTTGACTTTGGCTAGCCTCATATAGTCATCGGGACACCCACAAGAAGGACTCCTAAGACAACCTTGGCCATCCAACATGTTGGGCAAGCCGCCATTATGACCCAAAAAAGCCAGATATGCATTTGGGAAGACCTTCATAAGGTCCTTCCAAGCCGCAGAAAGCTTCTGTAACTTGATTCTATGTTGAGTCAAGTTGACAACAGGCTCAGTGCTGACAGCCTGGGTAGTGACAGGCTGGGTAATAACAGGCTGAATATTAGCAGCCTCATTGACAGGTTCAGGTTGAGTACAAAAAAAATCGTCGTGATCGTTCCATGCACCGTGATCATCATCACCACCACCAAGAGAATTCATGTCGCAGTCTTGATCATCGAAACGAAAAGCTTTTTCGTGGTTAAGTTCATCGTCATCCTCAGTAACGGGCAAGGGTCCATCGAGATGATACCTGCCTCCATGTATTTGATGAATTGCATCCTCCTGTATTCTGAGTTCGTCTTCGTCTTGTTGTTTGATGTATTCATCGGTAATGAACATGTACAATTCTTTCTTTGGTTTTTTATTAGCCTTAGAAATATTAGGTGTCATTGTAGTTTTGTTTATTAGAAAAAAGGGAAAGGGATCAAAATCCAGTCACTTCGCCCAGTAAAGAAAAATAGTTTTTATTTTTTCAGCTCAGATTTTCGTAACTATTCGAGTTACTACTCGACAACTGTGCGGTAAATGCTCAAATTAGATATCTAAATTAGCAGGGACGGATGTTCAATATGATGAATTTTTTTTTTAGTTGTGGGGATGAGGTGAGAAATTGTTCTAAAATTTGGAAATCCGGTCGAAATATTCACAGATAGAGGTCAAAATTTTTTATCAAAAGTATTAAAACAATAAATGAACAAAATTAGATCAAAGCACACCTTTACAAGCGCGTATCACCCAAGAAGTAACTCAAAATGTGAACGACTAAACCAAATTATCAAAAATATGTTGAAGAAATACGTCAATGGTGATGTTCATAGCTGGGACGAATATATCGACACCGTAACATTTGCATGCCGAATAAGAAAACATTCTACCACTGGATATAGTCCATTTTTTCTTGTATATGGTACTCAGCCTCGTATTCCTGGGGATTTTCATAGGCCTTACATGAACGATCGTACTGAATTTGATGCCAATCTGATTGCCGAAGATGCTCTCACCCGTATCCGCCACCTTCGTGAAGTAAGATTTATTGCCGAAGAAAATATGCGAAACCAAGGTATAAAAGATAAAGAGAGGTGGGATAGTATAATAAAAGGTAAAGAGACACAAACATTCAAGATAAACGACTTTGTTCTATTACGAAACGAATCTAAAAAGGGACTTGAATTTAACTGGATGGGTCCGTACCAGATCATCAACATAAATACCGACTACAACGTTTATCAAATAAAAGAAATAGAAGGAAAAATTTACAACTCTTGGGTACATACAGACCGACTAAAACCTGTCAACATAACCGATTCCAATATTTCATCAAGCTGGTACATACCCCGTACTGCAAGAGCACTATAAAAAAAAAAAAAAAACCATAACAAATCAATCAACCCTTATTTACAGTAACAACAACAACACTATACTTTATCAACATTCTCTTTATTCTTTTCAAATATTATCTCACTAATCAGGAACTTTTATATTTTTTTTTCTCTTATTTAGTACTCTAGTCAAGATCTAATAACATTTTAAGGAGGGGATATTGTCAGATATAATTTTGTACTAAGCTCTGTACAACTTCAATTTAGATATAACCATTTCACAAAACTATAATTCAATAAAGATCATCTTTCATTTACTATACTTAACTTTACATAAGCACATCTATTAAAATCTCTCTGACAAGTTGATACAATGTGAGTAGTAGTGATTGGTTTAGATTTAGTTTTGACAGTAAGGTAGAAGGAGAATAATATACGTTTGTAGTTAATTATTCAGTTCTAAATGAGCACCACGTTGTTTTATATAAAAATATAATAAATATATATGGTAACGATCCAGTTAAGTAAAATAAAATAAAAGGTCTTGATAGACAGATACAGAGAAAAGAGACTAAGGCTTCGGTTTTTCTAGGGAGACAGTAAGATAATAGGCCAATTATATATAGAAGATATAATATTTGATAGGCAAGTTTATGATAAAAGTATATAGTAAAATCTGAATATTTTTTGAAATATGTTTTGTTTTAAGGTTTATATAGTTTTTGAGAAATCAAAGGATCGGTGACGATACCCTTGATTTCGGATAAATGATAATAATAATAAATTTGTCAAAAGGTTTTAAATATAAAAGGTAAGGATTCAAGTTAGAGAAGTACAATGCTAAAAGTTAGCATGAAAAATATAAATTGTCTGAGTAAAGTTTTTAGTGTTGAAGTCAATTATTACATATTGAAAATCCGCATTGTAACATAGTGATACAATCTGGATAGTTGTCGGTCTCAATGTGAGCCTCAAGTAACTTCTGATCGAAAGAAAGTTGTTTTTATTAAAATATATTCTTGACTACTTTAAGTAGCATAAACTATAATCATGTGACCTGAGCTTTAACACTCCTATCCTAACTTACGGCCTGACATAGTGATTGTGATGTTTTATTGGCAGAGGTTATAAGTTAGATAGAGCAAGAATATACATAAATAATGATTTATATTTCAGTTCTTAAGCGAGCACCAAGTTATTTTATATAAATACTTGAAAGATATATATGGTCACGAGCCCGTAAAATAAATAGAATAAAAAGACTTGAAATAAAGATACAGAGAAAAGAGACTAGGCTTCGATTTTCTAGGGAGACAGACAGATAATAAACCAAATTATATGTTAAATATAAGTATTGACAGGCAAGATATGGTGTTACACGGCACTTTTTGTCGTTTTGACTTAAGATTTTTTATTTTTTTTTGACTGCTTTTTGAACCTTTTTCTATAAAAGGTTCCCAAAAATTCATAATAAAATAATTAGTTTGTTCTTTACTTTAATCTGAATAAGTCTTTATACTTTAAGTCTTTGTGATTTTGCATTTATTATAATTGCTTGTAATTTCCTTCTGTAAAATCAGCATTGTAGCTATTCCATTACGTATTTAACTATACTCCTTCGAATACCACTCTTATCTGATTTCGTCGTATAAATTACCCTCTTATATAAATATATTTTATCTTTTTCAGTTGACAACTATATAGTCTGGTGCTCACTTTTTAAGAACTTTTATCTTAAACCTCTATTTTTATTTTCTTCTATTGCTTTTACTGAAACTTGCCAGTAACAACATGTCTCAGTATCCCCGCAAATCTGGCATGTCCGGATACGTTTCCGCTTGAAACAATTGCTTGCAGTTTGATAAAGAATGTTGTAAGCCACCTGCAAATGAATACGTTCCTGTTGTATGCGGGAAAGATACATTGGGCCTAAAACGTTACTTTGAATTTGTTGATTTTTGACAGGAATTCTGTTGAACGGTACAGGTGTATTTTTGGAACGTCCTGGTAGATTGATTGCTGGAGGTACAGATTGCGGAATCATGGTTTCTAAAATTACAGATCTGACTTTTTGAATAATTGTGCTATGCTTTGCTTTGGCATAAGCAACAATTTTGTTCTCTTGGAAAATGTTATAGTATAGCTTTAAATGTTCCAGCGTCTTGTAAAATATAGCTACACCGTCAGCAGATGAGTTCCAACGAGAGGCCAATTGGCTCCAATTTGGCTCTGCTGATAATTGACAGTTATCGACCAGAATGTCTTCAAAGAGTGCTTTTTCTTCAGAAGTATGAACAGGAAGAATTGCATACTTGGTATGTTGCTTGCATGCGATATATTTAAATCTACTGTTGTTTGCACGCTTTGTAGACGGCAGCAGTAATAATGCTACGTCTGACAAGCATGTGTCACCAGTATTTATCAGATCACTTGTACCCGGAGCCAAAGTATTGATGTTTTCGACACACAAGGTTTCCATCTGATCATTTGAAATAGGGCAAATGCCGAACACTTCGTCGGAACCACAAAAATCCAAGGCGTTTGGCATACATGCAGTTTGTTGCTGTTGTGATCGAGCTTATATACAGATATAACTCTATCATCAATTCTTTCTATCTTATTTGATAACCTTTCTATAAATCATTATTGCATTACACTTTAAATCAAATACATGCTACTACACTCTATTTACTACGCATTGATTACTCATCAATATATAGAAAATAATAGTCATACATTTATTCCAGATAATACAATCCAATGGTATGATCGCTCGTCAATAACAAGATTCTCGAAGGTACCATGAGATGCTCGATCTTTAATTGACAATACGCCTATTGTATATTTGACAGGTTTCACTTTAATGATTGATATTCAGCCAGCCCTGAATACTGTGCTTCCACTCTCAATTTACCGAATGTTTGAAAAGTCCGCCCACCTTTTTGAAAGAAATTGGCCAATGGCGTGTGTTTGGGATGGAGATAAAATGTAAATTAAGGTAACAAAAGAAAATACTGTTAGAACTTTGTATATCTTTTATTTCGAGAAAATTTAGATTAGGGAATTCTACTAGCAAAAACTACAGGTATTTATACTAAATGATTAGATGGCTTTCGGATAATATATGTGACGCGTTAGAGGAATATGATATAATGTTATACGTAATGTCTGTTTAAATAAATATGTTATGAAGTAATTCCTGCCTTACAAAGTAAAGACAAAAGTACGTGAGGATCTAAATTCATCTCCGCAGGTGACATTACGTAAATGCCAAAGAGAAAGTTTAGTGCGTGCAATATTCAGTAACCGAATATTCCGCCTATGGGATTGTACTATACTTTTATGGTATTATAATATTTTACTCGTCACAAGGCAAATCACCTTGTGCACAGACACCAACGGTTCTGATGATAACAAATGGGGCGAAGTGTGAGCCATGAATATTTATACATGATCATCCATTATTATGTAAAATGTGATGATTCTTTTATTATAATCTATGACATCCTCAACATCATCCTCCACCAGTTTCAACAAACCTGTTGAGACGGCAAAATCTATAATTGGTATAACAAACATGTAATAGCCAGCTACCAAATGTCTTTTGTGTATGCAGATCTAATACAATGAATGTGGGGTATAAGGTGACTGCCAAACCTAAGTGGCGTCGAAGTATTTACAATCTTTTCTTTTTATTTTCTCTTCGTCTATTCAGTCTGTCCTCTCTACTCTCCATCTGTAAGGGACGACTACGCTTCTCTTGTGCATTGACGACATTGTTCACATTATGACTCCTGACATTCTTTGACGCGGAATTCTGCGACATGTTCGACATTGTAGATGTTGAAGGCGTTTTTTGCGCTCTTTCATTTCCAGCAAGAGAGTCTACTTTATTCCAATAACGTTGAATATAAGTTGGGTCTGTGAAATCACTAGCCTTCTGCCATGTGTTAGCACGTTCGCCATAACCAGCCCACTTAACAAGAAATTCTCTATTTCCTGGAGGTCCACGATGATCACGAATGTCTTCAACTTCATAATATTCTTCTTCAATGTGGGACTCGTCCATGTTTACCATCTTTAATTCGGAAGGCGTGTAGTTACGATGTAATAACTCACCTTGCTCATCCTTCAGCTCATATGATCCTCCTTGATTCTTACGTACCACTGTATACGGCCCTTCATAAAGTGGTGCAAGCTTACTTGCCCTACTCTTCAAGCGAACCATTACGTGTGAACCGACAGGGATATCTACAAGCACATTCTTATTATTGTATCTCTTGCTG